TACCCCTAGTCTAGGGTCTCCTGCTTGAGCAGGGGGTTGGACTGGAAGACCTCCAAGGTCCCTTCCAGCTCTATTCTGATGGATTGATTGAATGAATCGGCACGGTGGGAATCCAGAGATGACTTTCAGTTTGAGCGCCTGTTTTAATCCGTGCCGTTGGAACCTCGTCTTTGCTGGGCTTAGTTCTCCTCAACCAGCTGTGCGAAAGCCACCCGGTGGACTCCCGACCACTTCAAAGGACGGGGGATCAAGTGATGCCCTTTGCTGAAACGCCAGGTGATCTGTGGCTTCAGCTTTCAGGGTTGATCTTCCACCTCTGAGGAAAGGCTGAGCAGATGTGCATCTGGAGTTCCACCTGTCTCTGTAGGAGTACTCAGATCTGCAGAGAACCCCCTTGGCAGATGTTTCCTACTCAGAAGCTCATCTTTCTCAAACACAGGTCTTCTCTGTCTACTCTCTTGGAAGCTTCATTTGTCTGCCACCTTCTCCATAACTGAAATATCTGTAAAAGTTTTAACAAGCTTTGAATTACCAATAGTAGAGAATATTTCTTTCTCCTGGTTGAACTGTGGGGTCCTTGGTGCTCTCTGAGGCTGTTTTCTTGCAGACGTTCCATGACCCAACTAGGTAACATCTTCCATATTTGAGCACTGAAGATGTTACCTAGTTAGGTTATGAAACATCTGCAAGAAAACAGCCAGGAACTCCACAAGCTTTGAATTGCTCATCGGTTTTAGCATCAATCTGACTGTTTTTATTTTTAAGGTTGCGTTAGCCATCTTCAATAGCTCCAGGAGAGAAAAGTGGGACACAAATGAAATCAATCAATCAATCAATCAATCAGAGGTGTGCAGCAGCCTGTAACCTCATCCATTCTCTTTGCGACTCCTGGAATCTCTTTAGATCTTGATTTAGTCTAATTCAACAAAACACGATAATAGAATTACAGAGTTGAGAGGGACCTTGGAGGTCTTCTAGTCCAACCCCCTGCTCAGGCAGGAAGCCCTACACCATGGAAACTAATCAAGGAGAGAAGCAACCTAGAATTTAGGAGAAACTTCCTGACAGTGAGAACAATTAACCAGTGGAACAACCTGCCTCCAGAAGCGGTGAATGCTCCAACACTGGAAGTTTTTAAGAAGAGACTGGACAGCCATTTGTCCGAAATGGTGTAGGGTTTCCTGCCTGAGCAGGGGGTTGGACTAGATGACCTCCAAGGTCCCTTCCAACTTTATCATTATTATTATTATTATATTATTTCAGACAAAGGGTTGTCCACTCTCTTCTTAAAAACCTCCAGTGATATAGCACCCACAACTTCTAAATTTATCACACCCTTTAACAGAATAACAGAGCTGGGAGGGACCTTGGAGGTCTTCTAGTCCAGCCCCCTGCTCAAGCAGAAGACCCTCTACCATTACAGACAAGGGACTGTCCAGTCTCTTCTTAAAAACCTCCAGTGATGGAGCACCCACAACTTCTGGAGAGAAGCTATTTCACTGGTTAATTGTTCTCACTGTTAGGAAATTTCTCCTTAGTTCTACATGTTTGACAGTCTCTCTTTGTGAGTGTCTCTAAGGAGAATCATGAATCATGACAGCTACGTTAAACCTCCTCTAGGCTTAATTATCTAGAAAAATCAAGAGCACTTCTGTGAATTTGATGACACCGTAGTCTGCTTTCCAGACCAGGGAGATTTCCTACAGGTCTACCGTCCCATTGGAATAGCCGTTTAATGCATTTTCTCAGACTAAATAATCAAGTGAATGTAATCCCTCCTGTTGCAGAATCAAGCAATTCCTCTCCTAATCTAGTTTAGCAAGAATTGACTATGGCCTAAGCCTATTAAGCAACCATGCCTGGAATTTTAAGTATACCTCTGCATGCAAAGGTCAGAATACAATAAATGGGATTGTGATCCAGCTTTCACTGCATTCACAAATGGTCCCATCTGGGGGTGATGGGAGACAGTGACACCCAAAGTGTGTAGTTTATCGTCCAATCTACTCCACAATTTTCTTTGGGTTGCTGTCACTGCAGAAAACCTTGCTTCACAAAGATAGGATTGTGTGGATGTGGAAGCAGGCTTTTCAATGCTTTTGTGGCCATCTCAGAATATTCTGCCTTGACTTTAATCCAGAATGTATGGAGATTTCAAGATTTTAAATAAAGATTTAAAAGATATGCTTTTAAGGTCACCATCTTTGGAAATCTCAAGCAGTTGATCCTCTTCTAGGTGGAAGACTTTCCTTCAGTGCACCTCCAGCTGCACGGACCGGTTCCTAACTAGCCACGGACCGGGACCGGGCCACGGACCGGGAATTGGGGACCCCTGGTCTGGAGGATGATGAATGGTTGAGGGAACCAGGTTATGTCTGATCTAATGAAGAAAAGGACTAGGCCAGGAGTAGGCAACCTTGGCTCTTTTATGGCTTGTGGACTTCAACTCCCAGAATTCCTGAGCCAGCATGGGGGAACTATGGCCCCCTCATGACTGGTGGACTTCAACTCCCAGAATTCCTGAGCCAGCATGGGGGAACTATGGCCTCCTCATGACTCGTGGACTTCGACTCCCAGAATTCCTGAGCCAGCATGGCTCAGCTTGGAAACCTCTCCCTTTCCCCTCAGCATGGCTGGCTCAGGAATTCTGGGAGTTGAAGTCCACCAGTCATGAGAGGGCCAAAGTTTCCCCCATGCTGGCTCAAGAATTCTGGGAGTTGAAGTCCACGAGTCATGAGGGGGCCATAGTTCCCCCATGCTGGCTCAGGAATTCTGGGAGTTGAAGTCCACGAGTCCTAAAAGAGCCAAGGTTGCCTACCCCTGGACTAGGGGTAGTATGATAGCTGCTTTCCAGTACTTAAAATCATAATCACAGAGCTGGAAGGGACCTCAGAGATCTTCTAGTCCAACCCCCTGCTCAAAGAAGGTGCCTTATATAGAATGAAAGAGGTGGAAGGGACCTCAGAGGTCTTCTAGTCCAACCCCCTTGAGAGGCTGTCACAGAGAAGAGGAGGGTCAACTTATTCTCCGAAGCACCAGAGAGCAGGACAAGAAGTAACAGACGGAAACCTATTAAGGAAAGACCCAACTTAGAAGTAAGGAAAAACTTCCTGACAGCGAGGACATTTATAATCGGTGGAACAGAAGTTGCCTCCTGGAATTGTAGATGCTCCACCACCGGAGGTTTTCAAGAATAGGATGGACAACTATTTGACCAGGATAGTATAAGGATTCCTGCCTTGAGAGGGGGCAAGACTAGAAGACCTCCAGGGTCCCTTCCAACTCTGTTATTCTGTTACTTAACTTTCCAGTCCCACAATTCTACGTCCTAAGTTGCTTTTCCGGCCCTCAGAAATGGGTTATTTCAAGGCCCTGACCTTGACGTGAACCGTTCTGAGCTCAAAAGCTGGAACCATCCATTTTGAAGTTGGGCCATTTCCTGCACATTTTTCGGAACCGCCCTTTGCAATATTTTGCAAAATCTCTTTGAACGACCTGCATTCTGAATTCTGTCTGGAAGAACTAGAGTTGCCAGGTGTCCACTATTTGAGCGGACAGTCCGCTTTTTTCACATTATGTTCACTATTTTTTTTTTCACAAAATAGTGGACATTTTTTTTTAATTCAAAAGCTTTATGATGAAATGGTACCTAATCTAAAGCTGTACAGTCTAAGAGAATAAGGATAGGAGAATCGCGTTGTGTCTTTTTTTTTCGTAAGTTAGAATGAGACAAAGATCGAATATCCATTGAACTCGATTCTCCGATTCCGAAAAAAATGATTAATCATACTCAATTGTTTCACAGGACATTTAATAAAAAGTATATAAAATTATTTGATTATTTTAATACGTGTTAAAATGTTTGTAAGAAAATATATAATTTAATTGTACATTTTTTTTTTACTTTTTTTACTACTTAAACACACACACACACCCCGCTTGTCCGCTATTTTTTGGAAGCAGACCGGGCAACCCTACTGGAAATGGGTTGGCAGCCAGCAAAGTCCTTTTAAGACAAAAAAAACCCCCCAAAAGTCCTAAAGTCTGCATGATGATGACCCCCGTTCAGGTCTGCATCACTTTGACTTACGGGACGCTTGGCACGTAAAAGTGCTGCGTACAAAAGCATGCTGGGACTTAAGTACTCTTTACTCTTATCGACATCCATGTCATTACAAAGGGGCACAGATTATGGGAAGGGATCTTGTGACAGGTGCAGGAATTGGGTAGGTCTAGAGCTTAATGAGAAGGATGACTGGGGAGGGGTGTGTGACAGGATAGCTATTTGAGGGGCTGCCCCAAAGAAGAGGGAGTCAAGCTATTCTCCAAGGCACCTGAAGGCAGGACGAGAAGCAACGGATAGAAACTCATCAAGGAGAGAAGCAGCCTAGAACTAAGGAGAAACTTCCTGACAGTTAGGACAATTAACCAGTGGAACAACCTGCCTCCAGAAGTTGTGGGTGCTCCAACACTGGAGATAATTTAAGATGATTAGGGGACTGAAGGCTAAAACATATAAGGAACGGTTGCTGGAATTGGGAATGTCCAGTTTAATGAAGAGAAGGACGAGGGGGGACAGGATAGCAGTCTTCCAATATCTCAGGGGCTGCCCCAAAGAAGAGGGAGTCAAGCTATTCTCCAAAGCGCCAGAAGGCAGGACAAGAAACAACGGAGGGAAACTAATCAAGGAGAGAAGCAGCCTAGAACTAAGGAGAAACTTCCTGACAGTGAGAACAATTAACCAGTGGAACAACCTGCCTCCAGAAGTTGTGGGTGCTCCCATCACTGGAGGCTTTGGAGAAGAGACTGGACAGCCCTTGGTCTGAAATGGTTATAGGGTCTCCTGCCTGAGCAGGGGGTTGGACTAGAAGACCTCCCAGGTCCCTCCCAGCTCTGTGATTCTGACATTTGGGTCCCTGGGCCTGCGTGGCTTCAGCTCCCTGTTCAAGGGGGGGGGTGCTGGGAAGATCTGACCTCCCGTGTCCTGCTGTCCTTTGCAGGTTCCCTGTTATTCCTACGGACAGAAGCTCTCCAAGCTGGCCATCCTGAGGATAGCCTGTAACTATATCCTCTCCTTGGCCAGACTGGCAGACCTGGATTACAGCGCCGACCACAGCAACCTGAGCTTCTCCGAGTGCGTGGAGCAGTGCACCAGGACCCTGCAGGCCGAAGGCCGGTCTAAAAAGAGGAAGGTAGGTTTCGGATCGGAGGAGGGGACGGCCTCTCTTTCTCTCTTTCTTTCTCTCTTTCTTTCTTTCTTTCCTTTCTTTTCTTTTCTTTTCTTTCTTTTTCTTTCTATCTCTCCCTTCTTCCTTCCTTCCTTCCTCCCTTCCTTCCTCCTCCCTCTTTCTTTCTTTCTTTCTTTTCTTTCTTTCTTTCTCTCTCCCTCTCTCCCTCCCTTCTTCCCTTTCTCTTCCTCCTTCCCTTTCTATCTCTCTCCCTTCCTTCCTCCCCCTCCCTCCTTCCCCTCCTTTCTCTTCCTTTCTTCCTTCCTCCCTCCCTCCCTCCCTCCCTTTGTCTTCCTTCTTTTCTTTCTTTCTTTCTTTCTCTTTCTATCTCTCCCTTCCTTCCTCCCTTTCTTTCTTTCTTTCTTTCTTTCTTTCTTTCTTTCTTTCTTTCTCTCAATCTCTCTCTCCCCTCTTTTCTCTTCCTTCCTCCCTCCCTCCCTCCTTCCTCCCCTTTCTCTTCCTCCTTTCTTTCTTTTTTTCTCTCGCTCCCTTCCTTCCTCCCCTCCCTCCTTTCCCTCCTTCCTCCCTCCCTCTCTCCCTTTCTCTTCCTTCTTTTCTTTCTTTCTTTCTTTCTCTCCCTTCCTTCCTCCTCCTCCCTCCTTCCCCTCCTTTCTCTTCCTTCCTTCCTCTTTCTTTCTTTCTTTCTTTCTTTCTCTTCCTTCCTTCCTTCCCCTCCCTCCTTCCCCTCCTTTCTTTTCCTTCCTTCCTTCCTTCCTTCCTTCCTTCCTTCTTCTTTCTTTCTTTCTTTCTTTCTTTCCTTCCTTTCTTTCTTTCTTTCTCTCCCTTCCTTCCTTCCTTCCTTCCCCTCCCTCCTTCCCCTCCTTTCTTTTCCTTCCTTCCTTCCTTCCTTCCTTCCTTCCTTCCTTACTTACTTACTTACTTACTTACTTACTTACTTACTTCTTCTTTCTTTCTTTCTTTCTTCCTCTTTCTTTCTTTCTTTCTTTCTTTCTTTCTTTTCTTTTCTTTCTTTATAGCACAACAGATATTGTGTAGAATACTGGTCTTCCCATGGTGACTTCCCAAGCTGGGGGAGATGGCCGCTCGGCAAATGTGGAGGGTCCTTCAAAGATCAGCAGGATGTTCCCTTGCTCCTCTAGTCTTTCTCACCAGGAGCTCTGGACACAGGACACACAGTCCTCGACTTACGACCACAATTAAGCCAAACATTTCTGTTGCTAAGCCAGATGGTTGTTAAATGAGTTTTGCCCCATTTTAGGACCGTTCTGGCCACCGCTGTTAAGTGAATCGCTGCAGTTGTTAAGTTCGCAACGTAGTTGTATAACCATTTGTTACACATTTGTTATCCGCATTTGTTCAACACCTCCTCCTCCACCCCCCCCTGAGGAACCCCATGCTCCACATAATGACCGCAACGGGGAGAGTGCCAGGATTGTGTGGATGATCATTTGACCATAATTTTGGGCTCAGTTGTGATTGTAAATGGAGGAGGTCAATCAGAATAGAGCTGGAAGGGACCTCAGAGGTCTTCTAGTCCAGCCCCCTGCTTGAGCAAGAGTCCTTATACCATCTCAGACAACTGGCTGTCCAGTCTCTTCTTAAAAACTTCCAGTGATGGAGCGCCCACGATTTCTGGTGGCAAGCAGTTCCACTGGTTAATTGTCCTCACTGTCAGGAAGTTTCTCTTTAGTTCCAGGTTGCTTCTCTCCTAGAATAGAATAGAATAGAATAGAATAGAATAGAATAGAATAGAATAGAATAGAATAGAATAGAATAGAATAGATATTGGAATATAGAGTAGAGTAGAGCAGAGCAGAGCAGAGCAGAGTAGAGTAGAGTAGAATGAAGAATGGAATAGAATAGAATAGAATAGAATAGAATAGAATAGAATAGAATAGAATAGAATAGAATAGATATTGGAATATAGAGTAGAGCAGAGCAGAGTAGAGTAGAGTAGAATGAAGAATAGAATAGAATAGAATAGAATAGAATAGAATAGAATAGAATAGAATAGAATAGATATTGGAATATAGAATAGAGCAGAGCAGAGCAGAGTAGAGTAGAGTAGAGTAGAACGAAGAATAGAATAGAATAGAGTAGAATAGAGTAGAGTAGAATGAAGAATAGAATATAGAGTAGAATATAATAGAATAGAATGAAGAGTAGAGTAGAATAGAGTAGAATAGAATAGGAGCTGGAAGGGACCTCGGAGGTCTTCTAGTCCAGCCCCCTGCTCAAGCAGAAGTCCTTCTGCCACTTCAGACAACTGGCTATCCAGTCTCTTCTTGAAAACCTCCACTGATGGAGCACCCACAGCTTCCGGAGGCAGCTTCTCTTCCACTGGACCATCTGTATGCTTGTGCGAACACTGTAACCCGCGTGTAAACTTGGTTTTTCAGCTGCGAGTCCGTGCAGGGCAGATTCACCTCCTGGCTTTTCCTTCTGTCTTTCGAAGGATTCCGCGAAGCCGGTGCCGTGGAGGGTTGTCTCTCTCTCCCCCCCCCCCCCCAGCCTCGTCCTTTCACCCCGGTGGCAAATGAGATTTCCCAGCCGTTGTGACTTCTTCCACCCTTCCCCCCAAACGGCTGGGCTCTAGGCAGGCAGAGGCTCCAGATGTTCCATTTTGCTGGCTCGTGACTCAGCTGTTCCTTTGCCTTGCCTGACTGGCTATCTCCTTTGGCTGCATGGAATTTGGGTTTGGTTTTTTTTTATCCCTTCCCTTCTTCTATTTGTTTTTACAATAGGAAACAAAGGAAGAATGTTGTGTTCTCCTCCTGCCCCGTTTCCTTTGCTAAAAAGGCTGGATTCCTTCACGCTCCGAGAGGGGCCAGGAATGGTTTAAGGAACGGCAATAATAACCTACCTCGTCGGACGTCTTCATTGCCGTCAATTAGGCTTTCAGAGTAAACCTTTTTCTTTTAAAGAAGACATTTGACATTTTTAACGTGTGGTTTTAGCCACCTTGACAGGTATAATTCTCCCTGAAAACGTCGCACTCGTCTCCTCTCCCCGTTCGTGAAAGCTGCCCAACTTAGCTTTTCTTGTAATATGCATTTTTATTCACAGCCCAAAGACCCCCAAATTAGTCTTGATCTGTGAATTAAAATCAGATCTTCACTTAGTTAAGGCGCCAGGCTAAAAAAACAGGAGACGGTGAGTTCTAGTCCTGCCTTAGCCATGAAAACCAGCTGGGTGACTTTGGGCCAATCACCAGGAGGCTGGGAGTTCTAGTCCTGCCTTAGCCATGGAAGATAGCTGGGTGACTTTGAACCAATCACCAGGAGGCTGGGAGTTATAGTCCCGCCTTAGCCATGAAAGCCAGCTGGGTGACTTTGGGCCAATCACTAGAAGGCTGG